CATGATAGAATTTTTTCAGATTGACGTGGTCATATAAAGTGCCACGTAACAATGATCCACTGTTACTTAGGCCATACACCTTGTTCTTAATGTGATCCTGTGTCTTGGGATGATCAGAAGAAATTGCATATGGAATAAAGCAGTTGGCTTACATTTATGAGAAAAATCATGTTAATTCCAACCATATTTTTATTTGCTTGAATTCATGGGGGCTTACAAGTGAATATGCATAGATTTTCAAACTAAGTAGCTTGGGAGCAGGTCTGAGGTCGCTAAGTTATTTGACTTTTTGAGAATTGTAACCTATACCTAATTGGTGGAACACATTTGAAAGGATATGTGCCAAGCCAATTGTACAATTATTCAACAACATGAAATGAGCTTGTCTACCTATTCCCTGAAGCGTAGAATTTGATTACTATTATAATTAGCTTAAAATGATAAATGGGTCATTGCACAATCAAATAACTTAAAAAGCAAAACTTAATCTTCTGGAAGCAGTTGTAATAAAGACATAAGAATGCCCTCATCAAAGGAAAGCCAAGGGTAGAAAAATTGCTCTAAATGCTGGAAGAGTATTCACCTGAAATGTTTGAAGAAGGAATAGAGGTCAAAGATCTGGAGTATATGCTTTTTTCAATGTGATTCCCTTTTGGAAGTCTATTTCTTTTTCAAATGTTGTTAAGGTACTACATGAATTTATGACATATATCTATGTGTATTGGGGAATGTTTTGCACATTTGTTCTAAATTGTTTGTTGTTGTAGCTAATGCTCTATTGCCTTGTCATCTATGCTGGACTGAAATGAGAAGTAGTCATATAAAGATCCCCACCCCCTTCATTTTTAAACTTCATTTTTAAAATTTGAGACAGTGAGGTTTTAACAGTAGGCCTTATGAAAAAATTAAAACAAATGTGTCAGATCTAAAATTCAGAAGGGGACATTGTTTTATTATGTTCTAATCTAGCCAAAGCTAGTCATAATTATGGAATATTGAAACCAGTGAACATGGCTAACTTAAGTATCCTTCTTTTCAATGAGACTTGGTCACTCTTAACTTTCACTAGATTTCAGTTCCTTTTTTTTTTTATAATGATATTTATTAAAGTTTCACAAAAATACATGAAAATACAAAACAAAGAAAAAAGTATAAAGTTTTAAAATACAGCAAAAAAGTAGAAAATAAGAAAAAACATACAAAATAAAACAGTTAAAAACACAATAATGTTCCATAACCTATCTTCCTTACTCTTATTTCCCCGGACCTCCTCATACCTCCCTTCTTTGTATTCCAATTCAATTTGTTGGTTCAGCAAATCCTTACCATTAATCTTTTACCCAATTGTTAACCTTTTTTTCCCCATGTCTCTTAAAGCATTACAGCTAAAAACCTCTTAGTTTCTATCCAACATCCTTCTAAAGTTCCTTAATTTTGCAATATTTCTGTAAATAGTCTTTAAATTTTTTCCAGTCTTCTTTCACCGACTCTTCTCCCTGGTCTCGGATTCTGCCAGTCATTGATTTCAGTTCCAATCTCTTTGGAATCTATTTAACATCATCATAATTTCCACAGGACATTAGGATTTGAAATTCCAAGTCACCAGAGAGTGGACCCATGTGGATTGTTGTTTTCACCCCAGTCCACTGGCCCACACTAATTGTCTTAACTACTCAGATAGTGAGCTAAATATATTCTTTATTAGCATTCACAAAATTTAGAAAGCATTAGTATAAATCAAGTGGCACCCAAATGGAATCATTTAAAAAAGTAAAACCATTTATTATTTATGCAGTGCCATCTGTGTACATGCATAAGCTCTCTAAACTGTCTCAAGCACAGTTGGAGCAGAGTAGCCACAAGAGAGTTGAGAGTTGATATGAGGAACGGTGCTTACTGATAACCAGGGCTTTTTTTCCCAGCCAGAACTCACTGGAACTCAGTTCCGGCACCTCTCAGGTGGGCGTCATTGCTATTCTGAGAGAATGAGGGAGGTGCTCATGGTGAGTTCCAGCACCTCTTTTTCTAGAAAAACAGCACTGCCAATAATGTAGTATTCTCTAGTGTGCTCTCTTTCTATTGAAGGATTTCTAGCTTTCATTTCAGTGGGTAACACAGTGACATCATACAAAATAATGTGGTGGAAGAGCATACAGCAGGGCCTCTGGAGAGCTTACGTTTGGGCAGGCTCGGATAGGAAGAAGCAGTGCTTCAGGCATCTTGGCTTCAGACTATGTAGGACTTTAAAGGTCAAAACCAGCACCTTGAATTGGATCAGTGAAGTCAGTGCAAAATTGAATTAACACGCTCAGAGTGGCCCATCCCTAATAACACCCTAATGCTGCATTCTGGACCAGTTGTCATTTCTGAGCAATCTTCAGAGGTAGCCATACACAAAGCATGTTATAGTAAGCTAATGTGTGTGCTACCATAGCATAAGCAACTGCAGTCAGTTTCTTACTGCCTAGAAAAGTGTGCAGGTGGCATACTTTTCTAGGCAGTAATCTGTCTTCTCAATCAACAAGAGCCCCATGCCGTTTGGATTAGTTATTACTGTCATCATTATTTCTTAAACGTGTATCTTACCCTTCCTCCAAAAGGAGGCCTTCATCCAGTCTATCACTGCTCTCCAACACTGGTTTATAGCTTCCACTTTTTCCTTGGGTTTGATGGAAAAGAGAGAAAGAAATGGCTTAAAAACTGGTCCTGAAAACTCTTCATGGATAACTTCAGCAAATAATATGATGGAAACTGTACCAAATACTTGGATTCTCAGCAATGGAGTGTGAATATATACAGCCTGGGATGTGTGAAGTTCATTTCATGTAAATCTTTCTTTGGAAATCATAATACAAAGTGTAATTCTATCCATTATTTTTGTTAAAAAAAGGTAAATCTTGAAGGTGATTCACAAATCCCCTATATGGAGTTCTTAGATTCTAAGAATTCATACTTTCTGTCAGCTAAGCTGCGTTGAAAAAGATTTCACTGGGATATTTTTAAAAAAGAAATAGCAGACTAGAGTTCTTAAAACCAAGTTAAGAGAGGGGTGGGGGATTCACCCTGCACATAAAGGAAAAAGAATAAAAGAAATAACATATTACAGACAGGTTTTTTTTTTTTTTTAAGTTGGCATTATTTTAGAATGACATGCAGCATTACTGTAATATTTCACAGTGTTTTTTGTTTTGATGTTAAGTCACTTTCACCTCACTGTCATCTAAATAAGACTTTGATTCAGTATAACCATTAACATATTCGTTGTGCTATCTGTCACCATTTCCTTTGAGCTTGACTTGTTGGAGCAAAATTGGAGCGGTTGGTATACTATTAGTGTGAGATCAGCCAGTAACACTGTAGGTTAAGTTCACATAAGCATTTTCTTCAGTTTGAAAAAATATTATTGAAATCCTTAATGGTTTAACTATTGGTCCCTTTACATTGAAACAAAGATGGAAAGATGGAAACGTAATGTAGGCTGTCTTTAGAACGAGCAATACCCTGAATCCTGGTTGTTGTTGTTGTTGTTGATGACGATGGTGATAATAATAATAATAATAATAATAATAATAGGATTTTTAAGGAGCAGAAACCTATTATTTGCTTCTGTTTTGTTTTTACTTTTTTGTGGATTTGTGATACGCTTGGATTCATTCTGGAAAAAAGCTGGGCTCAAAAATCTGATAAATAACATCTCCATATACAATTGTGTTCCACAGAGGTCTGTCAGGCATCTTCATTATACAGCAGTTAGTGAATTCTGATTACACACCTTTCTCCTGGCTTTTGACACCTGAGTATATTTTTGACACCTGCATATTTTTAGGACCCACTCTGTTTTTGTGATTGCAAATTGTTTTAGCTTTGTTCTTAGCTTTGATTATAATAATGTGTTTTAATTGTTGCGACCTGCCCTGAGACTTTAGGGTGAAGGGTGGATAATAAATTAATATAAAAATAATTACACAGGTAGCTTTAGAGGAACATGGATGTTGAATTGACCACATTTTATGCACTCCCAATGCATCTTGAAGACTTGCTTCACAATGCCTTCTTTCCTGGTGGTTTCCTCCATATTTTTGCTGGCTTTTGAAAGTGTCTTCCCATTTCTGTGTGGTTTCAGAATAATTTGAAGGGGCAGCATTTTATTTGATAAATATACATTGGTGGTTTTATTTTATTTTTTTAAAAAAGCTTTTTCCTGGTTGTATACATTGGGGAACAGAAGTCCGTCCCCATCTCCCCAACATCTCTTTGAGAATCAGTTGGTAGGCTTCTATGTTTGTGTGTAGTGCACAAAAGTATTCAGGAATTGCTTCCCCTTGCATTCTGGAACAACGTGTGCTGACCTGTTATATTAATATAAATCACATCGTATGCACATTTAACTTGTGTGATTTCAACCATATGTGATAGAAGGCCGGCTGGTTGAAAATCTGCACGTTAAATGCAGGCAAGGCAGAGAGCTTAAAAGCTCTTTTTGCACCATGATTTCCCAGCATGAAACGCCCCCCCCAAACCAATTTCAGGAGTAGGAGTGTGTGGGTGGAGGAGACGATGGAACACCCCATTTCTCAAGTGGAAGTCTTTGCACAGGGGTTCCATTGATGGGATATTAGCTAAATCCCCTGCCCTATATATTTATTTGAGAGCCCACCTTATAAAGCTCCAGTGAGACTTACTGCTGAGTGTACCTGCGTATGACTGAGAATTCTAATCTGTTGATGAAAATTTAAGCAGGGTGTTCTTTATTTAAGATTAATTAATCCAGAACACTTTTGTTTCGGGCTCTCACCATTGCTAGCTCTGGCTGTGCCCCGCTACAGCATCTGGCCTCTCGGTGGAGTACCATTAAGAAAATGTGTCCCTTAACAGAAGATTCTCATGCTGTGGAATTTTGCATCTGTTATGACAGCATTCTTAAAAGTGGTGTGATTAGTTTCAGTAGAAGATCAGTGTAAATATAGACAATTAAGCACACAGGCCCTTGATAGTGTGAGGCCCTTGATAGTTCAGTCGGTAGAGCATGACACTTTTAATCATAAGAGTTGTGGGTTCAATCCCCATGTTGGGCAAAATATTCCTGCATTGCATTGCAAAGAGTTGGACTAGATGACCCTTGTGGTTCCCTCCAATTGTAAAATTCTATGAAAAGTAAAGTACATTATGTTAGCGTGGAAGTTAAATGATATTGTATTACTGCTAGGATTCCTATCTAAATTAAATAGTATAATTGCTGGTTTAGGATTAAGCTTTTTATTGTTTTCACTCACTCTGATACATTGTTGAATGTGCTTTATTTTTCAGGTCATAATTTTTGTGCACAAGGTCACAGATGTGGTGAAAACTCAGAGTGCAGGAACTGGAACACGCGAGCTACTTGTGAATGCAAAAGTGGTTATGTCTCTGTCCAAGGGGATTCTGCCTATTGTGAAGGTAAATAATGTGTTCCGCAAAGTAACTTCATTGTGGTCTGAGAAATGTGCTGTTAAAACAAAAGCAGAACAGAGCATCTCATTATCAAGTTCAATCTTCATGGTAGTATAAATGATAATATCCTCATTTGATTCTATATGTAGAAAGTTCAGATGACCCAGACAGATGGAAACTTCATTGTGAAGTTCCCAAGTGACTAACTGACTTCCTGGCATGTTAAAATGTCACCCTTCTGTTTGTGACTGTCTTTGCAATATATAAATTCCAGTAATACTGCTGCTTAGGCTGATGCAGTGGCGTAGCGTGGGTTGTCAGCACCCCGGGCAAGGCAAGTAATTTGCGCCCCCTAACCCGTGGATTTGCGCCCCCTAACCCTAACCCCCAGATGTTGCACCCGGTGCGGCCGGCCCCCCCTGCACCCCCCACACTACGCCACTGGGCTGATGGCAAGTATGTTGTTCCAGACATGAATAATCTGTGTCACAAATTGATAACAGTTGATAATAGTATATTTAGGCAACAAGCAAAGATTGTTTGCATCATGCCTTTCGATTAAGGTAAAAATGTGACCCATGTATCACTGTATCTACAGATAGTAGGCTTTTTAGAAGTGGTTTTATGGCCTTCTTTTAATGACGTGGACTGCTCTGAGGTATTCCGTTCAAGAGCAGAATAGGTACATTTTAAACATAAATCAATAAGATGTTGTGACTGTAGATAGCAGCTTGTGAGGTGTGATGATCTCCAAATACTGTTTACCCCATAGTATTAACTTGGTGAAAAACCCGTCTCTGTGGCTGGGGTGCTCCTGTGGATACTCATTACAAAGCAACCCTGTTTATTACATACAGGAAAATTTTGTCAATGTCTCTTCCTTTCCTGGGTTTCCGTGGACAAGCTAGCTCACTTGCCATTCAGAAATTGTTTGCGTTGCTGAACATGCCTAGGAATACCATCCATCATGATCCTTCAGTGCTGAAGTTTCAAGCATGTAATGAAACATGTAATGAAACATGGCTTTGTTTGTTTCCCTTGTCTTGATCAGAAACTGTTGAGTTTCATAAATGACTTTTTGAGACCTATTGTTGGTAACAAAATAGAAAGGCCTCACTTGGTGTCAATGCATGAGGAGTACAGTGAATTTAGAAAGACTCAGTTTTTGTTGTACCTAACCCTGGTTTGGTTGAGGCAAGTGCCTCGAACAGAATACATTTTTTTCTCCCATTGTGAATCTTCTTTGTCCAGTCTCAATTTAATTGATTAAAAGTTGTCATTGTTAATTTCTTAGCCTGCAGCTTAAAACAACAATGAGACATCCCTAAAGGGACCCAAAGCTTTTGGTGTTGTAAAATTCCATGTTTTGGATTAAAGTCATTTTTAAAACTTTAAAACTTGGATTAAAATTGTTATCCTTTTGTGTTTTGAAAGAAAAAGAGATAAAGCACCAGCACAGGAATAAAAGTACGAGGAGGTCTGAAATGTATCTTCTCTTATCTTCATTCTCCAGCACTTTGGGGTGCTTCAGACATTCGCTGGACATGTTTGGAAAAGGAAGCATGAATAACCCGTGCTTTCATGACCATGATCACAGGGCACTAGCTAGTCCTCTGACATGGCGAAGGAGAAGCTAGCTGGATCAGGAGGACCAGTGCCACTAACACCAAGCTGGACCCAAAGATTGAGTTAGAGAGCCCTACATTAGTTCCCCTGGAGACAGCACTCCATGATAATTGGCCCTCTTTTTAGACCATGGGCTTCATCCTAAACTATACCTGCTCACAAGCAAAGGCAAGACGTGGAATGGGAATTGACTGTGACAGGTTCCAAGCCTGAGGGCTACACTATAAGGCTTTTGGCCCAAGGAGGGATGTTGCATCTCACCTGAGCAATACACCATGTCAGAGTTTTCTGCCTGGAAATATCAAAGGTCCTACAACTCCAGTTTGATATGCTGTCTGATGACCTGATAGACTGACACTACAACTTTGGGTTCTTCTCCCTCTCCCCCAGAATCCCCTCTTGCCTTGAAGGCTTCCACTCATCACCAGAATAGGACACCATTCCTCCAGGTCAGGCATGACCAAACTTGGCCCTCCAGCTGTTTTGGGACTACAATTCCCATTAGCTATGGATGATGGGAGTTGTAGTTCCAAAATGGCTGGAAAGCCAAGTTTGGCCATGGCTGCTCTAGGTAATGTCCAAAGGTAGAATATCAGACAATGGGCAGAATGTGTGTTTTCCTGTGCTGTTCGGAGATGAGGAGAGATGTAATCTGCTGCTGCTTCTGTCACTCCTGAAGAACAGCCTTAAATTGTCCTGGCTGAACATCTGTCTTCCTGCCCCCCTTTCCTTTTTGCTCCCCCCTCTCTATATGGTTCCGTTTTCTAGGAAGACTTCTGAATGTTTTGTATTGTACATATATTAATGTGATAAACTGGCATTCACTTTGGCTTGTACTATTTTTTCGTTTTCTCTATTTATGGCATTAGTGTTTATGAGCTTGGCCTTCATGGATCTTTTCCATTTTTAAAAAGTGCTTTCTTTAGAATTATTCTTGAGCTGGCTTCCATCCATCTATATTTGAAATGGAGAAGAGATGACACCCTTGACAAGCTGTTAAAATATATTGCTGGAACAGGGAGATAAGACTAAGGAGTGTTCAGCAGAAAGAGATTTGTGGGTATCAGCTCTGCTTAGCTGGTCTGAAAAGCTACTAGTATTCTTCCCCATACATGCATGGATGAAGAGGGCTAGTGTTGAGCTATAAGAAACAAATCTCAAATTTAAAAAAAAAAATTGTATTTATGACAGTATTTCTGGCTCAATCTGCCTGGATAGCTCAGTTGGTTAGAGTGTGGTGCTGACAATGCTAAGGTTGCAGGTTTGATCCTCGTATGGAACAGCTACATATTGCAGAGGGATTGCATTAGATGATCCTCAGGGTCTCTTCCAACTCTGCAGTTTTGTGATTCTGTGAATCAACCCATGTGAAAGGACAGTGATCCCATCCCATATATCATCTGGTGAATCATGAAAACAAAGTTTCTACTGTAATTTAATCTGAAATTGCATGTTCCAAAACATACATACGGACCTTTTCCTGTTTTTGTTTAACATGATATCTGACCTGAAGAAGACTACAAAGTCTGCTGACTATTTTGTAAACCTTTGGTTAGCCCCTATAAAGGTTATTTTTTTAAATCTAATGAGCCAACATGACTGCACTTATTTTATAAATAGACTGATTCACATGATGATGGTGATAATAATAATAATAATTTATTATTTATTATTTATACCCTGCCCATCTGGCTGGGTTTCCCCAGCCATTCTGGGCGGCTTCCAACAAAATATTAAAATACAGTAGTCCATCAAACATTAAAAGCTTCCCTAAACAGGGCTGCCTTCAGATGTCTTCTAAAAGTCTGGTAGTTCTTGTTCTCTTTGACATCTGGTGGGAGGGCGTTCCACAGGGCGGATGCCACTACCGAGAAGGCCCTCTGCCTGGTTCCCTGTAACTTTGCTTTTCGCAGTGAGGGAACTGCCAGAAGGCCCTCGGCATTGGACCTCAGTGTCTGGGCAGAATGGTGTGGGTGGAGACGCTCCTCCAGGTAAACTGGGCTTCCAAATGCTCAAGCATTCCTGTTATTCCACCATGCTATTTCAGCACCATTTTATTGTGAATGTATTCATCAGGACCTGTTATGTCTTTGTATGCAAGGTTCTTCTGTATCTAGAAAGACCACAATTCTACTTCACAGATGGTGGGTGAGAGAGAAGAGAGAAAGAATAGATTGCAGTATCACCGGGACATCAAATATAAATTCTCCGTTATGTCTTGCTGTCCTGGAGTGTTTAAAATTCATCCATTGGGCCAGATGTTGTGTTACAGCCCCAAATACACATACTTTGGGATTTTTATTTGCTTTTCACCTAGAACCAATAACACAGGAAGTTGCTGTGAAAATGCTCCCTTTTTGCTGCTATATTAGGGATTCATTTGAGAGCAGTCTTTAGGATGGTACCGCTCTCATGCCATATTTACTTAAAACACACAAATGTATTCATAAGTGGTCATAGAGACAGCTAGAGCTAGAGATAATTAGTATAAATATTGCTGTGATAATGGTCTGAATTTCATTCCATTGTTTCAAAGGAATTGAAATAGAAGTCGTGTTTCATACTGCTTCTTTTGAGATCCAAGGTTTCTTGTCTCTTCAGCTGATCTGAAAGTAATGGTATCCTAGTTCAGAATGTGCTGAATCAATAATAATACTAATAGCAATGATAATAAGCAGTCTCTGCCCCTCCATCTACCCACCCATCTTCTCCCTCCTCCCCATTAACCACCCCAGATCTTCTGTATTGCAGCAATGGTATTGCCCTTTAAGAAGCCTTGCACTTTTCATAAACTTCAAGGCTACCCTCCTCACACATTTGCACAGAGGCAGGTGCTGGGGAGCGATCATACCAGATGTCTTTTTCTTCAGGTCCCCTCCCTTCTCCAAGCCTGTTTTCTGTCTCCTGGGTTCACTATTTTGTTATTCTCAACACACACACCCTTCTTACACACACATACGCACATGGGAAGGGGGGGCGTTTCCTGAGAACCAAGAGTGCCTGCTGTGACTCGCCGGCT